GAGTTATCGGGATTGTTGAATAGAATATGATTATATATTCTGAATAAAGTCCCCTACTGCTTGTTTTCTACTCTCACATTATTAGGTTTTATGTTATAATACTTTTTAATAAAATAAGTGCCGTTACCTAAGCTGTGGAAATTCCCAAAAATTCCCAAACAAAATGTTCATCATGGTCCAGATTTTACCGTGAAATCCGTCTCGTTAAAAAATACACACAAGCCACGTTTCCTTGACAAGTTTTATTGCTCGTACGTACAGCAAAAACTAAACATGACTAATTCAATTTTCCTGAACAAACTCTCCGTATTCAAAAGCTTTACAAACCGAGGGAATAAAGTTTCGTGACTTGAAAAGTCAGTTTATGTCCTTGCTCAAAAGTTTTTCAACAATAGATTCTGAGATTTGTCAAGGGAAAAAACACGTCTTTTTTTCCGTACATATGAGCAAAAAGAGTGTGGAGGAGAAATTGTCAAGGAAAGCTTTTATTTAGCAAATTCATATTAGAAGGACGGGAAAACTCGTCTCAGACGAAATTTCGTCTGACAAAATTCCGTCTAATATAAATTTAAGGACGGTAAAAATGAGACGGGTAAATGACTTAGAGCCGTCGGAGACTAAGGACGAGAATGAGGCTATTCAGTCTCTATTCTGACTATTCAGTCGTAAGTACGCGCGCACGAACTTGTCAATAAGGAGCCAAATTCATATTAGAGAAGGAAAAACCGTCTGTCTTAGACGGGAAACTAGACCGTCTTAAATTTCGATAACAATCAGGACGGGTGTTTTTGTTTGCTACACACTGGAACGTCTGGGAACTTGAAATTCAACAATGAGCTCGGAAAATTAACATACGGATCATGAGTGATAGGAGGAAAAGTTACGCCAAATCGTCACGTGTGAATTGGTCGAAGGCCAAGCATGTTATCGCGGAACATAGCAGCCAATAATAAAGCCATGATGGCTGAGCCAGTGGTTTCCTAAATCAAAGCCAATCAAATCCCCGATACTCCGGTAATCCGCCCACACTTCCCATGGTTACTCCTAGTATTAGACGGTATTCTGTTCTGTCTGACTAAATTAATGGAAGACAACAAGAGAATTTTCTCTTGAGCAGCAAAAAAAACGCGAGCATTTAACGGTCGCACAGCACAAATAATTTCACTTGCTTTTATTTTTAAGCTTCAGTACACAACTGAAGGACCGAAAGTTCCTGAATGACTCTCACAGGTCAAATAGATCCTTGGATCTAAACCATAACTAGCATTCTCTCACGCACTCGTTTAACGCACCAACACACTAAGTTCATGCATATTCCAAACATAAACGAACAAATGAGTCCAGTTTAACCTGAATCCGCTGTATGGCGTAGATGCGTGCACGCCGCCAATCAATTCTTGTAGTTTGCGTAACAGCGGCCGATTTTGTAAGGCGATATTTGTTTATTGTCGGTGTTTTTTGATCTCCTTATTAGTATATAGAAAAATTAGCTCAAGAGATTAATTATGATCTTCTCTTTTTAAGTAATGTATAGAACAGCTACATAATCGTATTTAACATAAACAGGCTAGAGGTTAACTAGAAAACCTTCCAGTTCATTTAACCTCTAGGCATTTACTATAATTAGCTAATTACTCAAATACTATTAAGAACTACTATTAAAATAATTTATCCAAAAAATGTAACCTAACTTTTATAAATGCAAATAAAAAATTGTTGTTGGCACTTGGAGCCTGAATTTTTTTCAGCCTTCTTTTCAACTGTAAGAACTCAATTTTGCATGCTCTTTCTAGTAAAATCTATTTTTAAACCGGATGGATTTCTAAACGCAATGATGTCACGATGAGACATAAAGTCTGATATGATTCTAGCGTGTCAAGAGACTTATTCTCAGGGGCACCCAACGACAAAATTTTCCTGTAGGTGTCGCAACGTCGTTTTTACGTTATAATTGTGCTTTTTGGGCAGTTAAAGGCTTATTTTTAAACGCTAAGAAAAAATGTATCTGTTCGGATGCGTTAGCTGAACTTCCAAACTTCAGAAAAATTTAGCGATTGAAATCTCATTACCCGAATTTATGAGCTGAATTTACCTTTCCGAAAATCCTAGCTGATCTATTTTTGTACCCAAAAACGACATTTTTATCTCTCCGAAAACAAAAGGCATTAATTTTCCCATATTAAGAAAGTTCGAGATGACATTTCAATAACCGAACATCTGAGGCGATTATAGGCCTCCCGAACAGATATTCCACCGAAACGATCCGTTGGGTGCCCCTGTTATTCTCTTGAGCGTGTATATTGTGTACGAACACTGCACTGCAATCCTGATCATAATGCAGTCTAAAGAATCCGAGTCGTGGCGATCTGTTTCGTACGAAGAAGAGCTTCAGAGAGCCAAGTGGTATAAAGAAGACTTGGATAAAGGTGACGGCTGGACTCTAGCAGCCAAAGAGCCCGGGTACAGTTACTGGATTAAGACCATCGGCGGTGATGAAGTTCCCATTAAGATAGTTTACACGGTTGACATGCCCTTACCCGCCGAAGTTTTTGCGCAGTTGTTGGACCCCAAAAATCTGCAAGCTCGTAACGACTGGGACAAGTCTTTTGTGGAGCATGAGATTTTGGGCACCTACCCTGACGGATACGTGACATACATGCGAGCACTGTTATCTTGGCCACTGACAGATCGATCGTTCGTTTTGTACCTTCCAACAAGTAAAGAAGTCGATTGGTATGGCAAGCGAGCACATTTCCTGTTGGCCAAACACGGATGGCATCCATCAAAACCCGAAGGCGAAGATGGCTTTGTTCGAGCGACAAATGGCGGGAACTTCTACATGGTGATGCCAGATGAAAAGGAACCCGAGGCTGCCTGTCAAGTGTTCGGATTAACAAACAACCTCTACAACGGATGGATTCCTAAAACTAACATGGAATGGATGCAGAAGAGGATTGTACCAGGCAAATTTAACGAGTGGCGAGAAAATTTGGTGGAGGGTTATAAGAAGTACTTTAAAAAGTAATAACATATTCTTTGGGCTGATAATAATTAACATATAAATAAACAATAGCCTCCATTTGGCGAGGAAATATGCTCGGATATTTGTCCGCGGACATTATCTGTTCCAAGAAGCGAACAGTTTTCCGAGAGCGAAGCTCGAGGGAAAACTGTGAGCTTCGAGGAACAGATAGTGTCCAAGGACAAATATCCGAGCATATTTTTCAAGCCAAATGGAGGCTATTGTAGTTATTATCCTTCAAATATTTTTTCACAAGGCCGCTCTGTTTTGCCATGGAAGATCTCGGTCGGCCAAGCTGTTAAACATCAAAATAATTCTGTTGGCGTTCAAAAATATTTCTAGTCTGTTCAAAACAATCAGTTTTATTTAATTTAGCAATTTATTTGAGACGAAAACTGAACCTGCGAACGTGAAACGCAAATTTTCAGAACTGGGGAATATCACTTGGGGAATATCACCCGGATATTCCCCAGTTTTGGCTGCGTCACGTGACGTGTTTAGACCAATCGCGCGCGAGAAAATTTTTGATGGATTATAACGTTGTTTATACGCGGGGATGGAACTTATGTAGTGGTTGTACATAGAAACTGAAAAGATAATTTAAAAAAAATGCACAAATCTTTAAACTAGTCGTTCGTTTCTGATATTTGTAATTTCAAAACTATAGGCTCCAGTTGTTCTGTAAATAGTTATTGCATTTTTTTGGGATGTATTGTAAACTATAAAAGGAAATGTTATTTCTGTAGTATTTCGTTGTATAATTTTTATTACTTAAATAAAGGCTACAGGGAAAAAAGTAAGTGATTTTCATTTTCAATCATGTGTTTTGAAAATGAGCCAAAAATATTTCCTAGGAAACTGACTGCAAAGTTGCCAGCGATAGAGTTGACGCGGCCACCTCGAGGCAAATTAAAATGTTGCATTTTATAGGCCCGGCTTTCGACAAACGTTTGAAATATCGATGTCGTGGATAGTGCTGCATGGCGCCAAGTGTGTTCAGGAACAAGTTGTCATAGCATTATCTTAAAAAAACATCGCTTGTGAGGTCAGTGGATATAATTTTATTTATACACGGTGAGAAATTATCGGTAAACGAGCCTAAAACTTTGCGTGCGCCCCACAAGTTTTTCGTTCCGCCAGAGCCATGTGTATTTCATACTTGACGCTCTGTTGATTTAATGTAGGTAAAATATTTGCTCATTGGGAACAAGTGCCGGTTTTGGCAAATTTTCGTGGAAGCACTCGGAAGAGTTTCCGAATCTTTTTATCCAATCAGAACTAGCACGAGCACATAAGTACTCCAAAAGCAACCACGCCAGCAAATACGTCATGTTTGCTTAAGCAACTTTAGGCAACGAACACCGCAGGCTCAGTCCCGATTCGGAAGATTGGGAGAATGTATACCTATAAACTTACAATGTATTAAAGCATCTCGTGATTATCAAAATGTGATCACTATGTAGTTGTCGATCATAAAAAGTTGTTGATAACAAAAAAGCCAGTGTGTGAAGCAAGTTATTGATGACAAACTTAAAATCAGTTATCGACAACAAAACAGTTTTCCAGAAAAACTACTTTAGTTTGATGATACATTACATTACAAGTCTAGTGTCGAAATTTAATGCTCAACACACTCACCAATATGTCGACCCATTCACCACTGGACAGGGCTTCGTCAATAGCAGCTTCAACCTGGTCTTGTAAGGACTCACCCACACAGCAGGTGGGAAGAAACTTCACCGGTAACTGCTTGAATCTTCTCTTCAAAAACTGTCTTCCATCAGTTATACCAAGCCGCGAGAGGGCATCGTACTCTGAACAGAAACAAGAAATAAATAATAATTTACTCTTTCTTCGTTTTCTAATGTCAAAACGTTTTATAATACGATTGTATACAATGTATGAGAGTGCTGAAACAGGGAAATATGCCCTAATAAATCCCCCTAAAAAGGTAATAGGGCTGCCGGAAGAAAATCTGTGATCCCAGTGGGAAATGAGCCCATGACCTCTGGATCAGATGACCGTCGCTCTAACCAACTGAGCTACGAGGCCAGATGGAGCAGCTAGTGATAAACAACATGCATTATAAACATACATACAGTTGAACCCCGCTAATTTGAACTCTCAAGGGAAACAGAAAATAGTTCGAATTAGCGGGGTTTCGAATTAACCGGGTCATTGTTTAAAAAACAAAATAATAATTAAAAATTAACACAATAGAATGACTTGACTTGTACCTAATACAGTTTTTATTTCATTCTGAGAATCACAAAGTGGGTGTCAGTTCTAAAAACAGCAAAATACAAGTCTATATTGGAACAGATTGCGTGACGAGCCCAAAGAGCGTCTGCGTTGGAGGCTAGAACTGTGCGGAATGGAGACACATTACAAAAAAGTGCAATTAAAATGTTATAAAAAATGTTATTCAGCTGTGTTCTAGCCTCCTCGCAGACGTTCTTTGGGCTCGTCACGCAATCTTAATTAATCCACCGCCATTTATGAATAAGGTCTATAACACCGCTTCAATATTTACTCGACTTTGTGTTTTATTTTTAGACAGCCTTAGAAGTTATCAATGAACAAGAAATTCGGGGATTGTGTAGTGCCATTGATCAGTTGCAGTCATGAAAAAAAATAAAACAAAAACAATCGACGAGTTTTGACATGATCGTAGTTTTCGTGAAAGTACCTGTAAAACCGTGAAAAAGGTAAACATTGAGGTTTCACCTTGATTCATATATTTTCAGTTTTTGGCGAAATCGCGTTACTGTACTTCCTTCTAGTTTTTTCCATGAAGTATAAGGGACATATGATAATTGAATGAGCGGTATTTTTTGTAAATAGATATCTCAGAAGTAGCTAATTTGGCTACGGGAAGTCCATTCTTTAGTTTTCACATAAATCATACCCTTAATTTAAAGGTCCCAAAAATATCTCCAAATCCGTCTTATTTTTGTGAAAAACTCCGCCTCAGAGGAAGACAAACACCCAAGGTATAGGTATCGTAGAGCATTTCCCTAGAAAATGCGGTTGAGGGGCTAAAATTCGACTCAGAGCAAAAAAAGGTGTGACGTCATTATCACGTGATATTCAATTCGATCTCCCCCAAAAACATACCATATTGTAGTTCAGTCTATATGTAACACATGTGTTATAATGGATATGAAATTGAAATCAATCTGTTTAGGTATGGGAGGTTCAAAGTTGGAAGGTGTTCATGCAAAAATATTGGGTCCAGCCACCTTAAGGTGGCTCGATGTAGTTTTTTTAGCGATGGGGTGAGAGTTTTGAAAACAAAAATTCGATCAGAAGGCAAACTTCGATCTTTGCCATACTACACCATAGTGATGACATATGATGATAGTTTATTTTCCACTGGTTTCCAAGCAACAGAGGTTACCACAGCAACGATTTCGGCATCCTATTGGTTTTAAATAAGGCTGATTTTCTCGAAATCTAGTCGGAAACCATTGCATCCATGTTATAATATTTTGAAGTAGGGTAGTTTGGCCACCTGTAGACGAAATTTGATGAAAATCTGTAAGGCGTGTTTTTGAATAAAACAACACTGAACTTTTTGCGGACCATTTTGTGTATTTCCTAGAATTTACTTGAAAATATTTCAATAAATTAAAGCTATATGTACCTCCCCTCTGTTGAAGAATTGTTTGATGATATTAAAACTTTGTAAGGCAAATGGAGCACTTCGGATGGTTACGATTTCAAAATATTTAATTTTGAAGAACTGCACTCAGGCACCACAGAACACGATCGAAGCGCATAATTTACATTTAGCGGAATATTTCTAAAAATGTTCTTACAGATTTTTAAAAAAATTGGTCAGCTATTAGCGTGATGATTGTACTTGATATTCCAATCGAAAACGAGAGTAGAAAAATGTTGTCAGCATTAGAAAAATAACACCGACTATGGCTAAGTTTTGATCGCTAAGTTTTCTTTCTCTGAAACAAGGGTTTTGTTTAATCTTGTGTGTTCTATTTCTCTCTTGATGCACGTGCAATGAATATTTATTCCAAATGCCTTCTGTGGCCAGCGTGCGTTTATGATACATAAATGAATTTTTAAGCAGGAGAGTACATCTATTCTGTTTCGATCATCTTTACTTTTAAACAACTAAAACGGCTAAATTCATTTCCTCCAATCATATCTTCTTTTTTAACAAAAAAGCGGTTTTGCGTTTTAGAATTAGTTTTGATAACGAATGATCAACAATAGAAATGCTGTGTGAAATTTGCTAAAACTGTTCTGATTTTTTGTTACTCTATGTTTTGCATTTTTTAGACGAATCTCACGATATTTCTTTGAAATATTTATTGCACGTGCATCAAGAGAGGCGTGCAACAAGAGAGAAATAGACCAGACACAAGATACACAAAACCCCTCTTCAGACAAACAAAATGGCGATCGAAACTTAGCCATAATTCGATGTTATTTTCTATGCTCGCAACAATTTTCTACTCTTGTTTTCGATTGGAATATCAAGTACAATCATCACGCTAATAGCTGACCATTTTTTAAAAAAATCTGTAAGAGCATTTTTGAAATATTCCGCTAAATGTAAATTATGCGCTTCGATCGTGTTCTGAGGTGCCTAACTGCAGTTCTTCAAAATTAAATATTTTGAAATCGTAACCATCCATTTACCTTAGCAAGTTTTTTATCATCAACAATTCTTCAACAGAGAGGAGGTACATATACATGTAGCTTTAATTTATTGAAATATTTTCAAGTAAATTCTGGGAAACACACAAAATGGTCCGCAAAAAGTTCAGTGTTGTTTTATTCAAAAACCGCCTTACAGATTTTCATCAAATTTCGTCTACAGGTGGTCAAACTACCATACTTCAAAATATTATAAAATGGATGCAATGTTTTCTGACTAAATTTCGAGAAAATCAGCCTTGTTTAAAACTAATAGGATGTCTAAATCGTTTGCCATGGTAACCTCTGTTGTTTGGAAACCAGTGGAAAATAAAACTATCATCATATGTCATCATTATGGTGTAGTATGGCAAAGATCGAAGTTTGCCTTCTGATTCAAATTTTTGTTTTCAAAACTCTCACCCCATCGCTAAAAAAACTACATCGAGCCACCTTAATATGAGTGCTACACAGCCCACACACTTTGTATCAATGTCTAGTATACTAGCGCATGTGGTTTACAGTCAAACTACTGTAACCGGGGCCACCCAGACAAAGTTAACCAATCACAGGACAGAACTGGGAAACAATACATTCCAACATTTTTAATTGAGCCAATCCGATGTCGAGTACAGAACAATGAAATTGCAACTTGTTTCGTTCGCGATGAAAAACAGATGAATGAGGTTGTGCAGTTCTATGGCGTAGATTTTCGATTTCAACCCTTTTATCGTTGACTAGTTTTAGCAGTACGATTTGGAAGGAAAATATATGCGAGTCAATGAAAGAGAAACTGCAAAACTACGTGAAAACTGGGAATGCGACGGCTGTAGTATGTTCCTTCGAATAAAAAGTGCGTGGCGGATTTGAAATAATTTGTTCGCTCTTGACAAAATCAAGTTTTCTCTACGGAGTCAACCTGAATAGCTACACATGTCGGGTTTTGGCAGTACCATTTGGAAAATAAATACACTTGATGCCAGCGAGGGAAGACTTTATATTCCAAACTGCATAAAGTCACTGCACGCAAATGGCCAATAGTTTCGGCAAAGTTCGTGACGGATTTGAAAACAACGAAAGCACGGCTTGTTTACGTACCCGTATATTTGAAAATCATGTGAATTGTCGCGAGAAAGAACTCAACCGCCGGAGTACAGTAATATTTTGCCGGCAGAGTTTGAATCACGTTTCGTAACGGCGAATTCTTTCAGTATTACATTTATCTCTGATCGCATGAGAGAAAGAAGCCAACTCAGTGCTAGCAGATCAGACACAGAGTCGCTTCGATCTTTCCCAGAAAATTCGGGACTTTTCTCGAGAAAGATCGAAGCGATTTTACTAGCACTGAGTTGGCTTCTTTCTCAGTAATTTTTCCGAAAGGATTCGACACAGTTTCGAAAGTTCAACGCAAATCAGACAACTCATTGCGATCAGAAATAACCTGTAATAAAGAATTCGCCGTTACGAAAACGTGATTCAAACTCTGCCGGCAAAATATTCCACTCCGGCGATTGAGTTCTTTCTCGACAATTCACTTTGCCGAAACTTCAAAATATACAGCCGACCACTCTTTTTATGCAAATTGTTCTGACAAAATAAAAACCCAGCACATGGAACAAGGTGGAAATCAAAGATCCGACAATGTATAAAAAACTAAATTCATCACGTTGGTAAAACAAGCCGTGCTTTCGTTGGTTTCAAATCCGTCACGCACTTTGCCGAAACTATTGGCCGTCGCGTTCACTGACTTTATGCAGTTTGGAATATAAAGGCATCAAGTGTATTTATTTTCCAAATGCGTACTGCCCAAACCCCGACATGCGTAGCTATTCTATTCAGCCAGTTGATGCCGTAGAGAAAACTTGAAAATTTGTCAAGAAGCGAACAAATTATTTCAAATCGCACTTTTATTCGAGGAAACATACTGTACAACCGTCGCATTCCCAGCTTTCACGCAGTTTGGAGTTTCTCTTTCACTTGACTCGCATATATTTTCCTTCCAAATCGTACTGCTAAAAACTAGTCAAAGAAAAAAGGGTTGAAATCGAAAATCCACGCCGTATATAGTAGAACCGCACAAAATTTCATTCATCTGTTTTCATCGCGAACGAACAAGTTGCAATTTCATTGTTCTGTACCCGACATCTGATTGGCTCAATTAAAAAATGTTGGAATGTATTGTTCCCGTTCTGTCCTGTGATTGGTTAACTTTGTCTGGGTGGCCCCGGGTACAGTAGTTTCACTG